GGGAGGGGATGAGCAAGAGGCGGGGATCAGCACGGTGTATTGTTTTTTAAAAACCCACAAAGAACAAGACACTTCGCTGCACCTGCATCTCCCCTGGGGAGAGGATGAGAGAACAAACACGTGGCAGATGTGGGTGCCGTCGCTTAATGCATAACTGGAAGGCGCCCAGACATAGTGCTGAGTATACGACCCGGACAGAGACTAGACTAGGCAGTAGCAGGGAGTTTGAATGGAGCAGGACGCACTAATGAAGCACTTGGGGGGTCAGTGGGTGGGAGGGTTGGGAGGGGGAATCATGGAGTCAGAGTGGGCTGGGACTGGGGGAGTTTGTCGGTAAACTCCTCTCAGCATCTGTAGAGATGGGTGTATTTGCAGTGCCCCTAGATTCACTTTCTGTTTCTCAGATACCAGCACAAAGCTGGTTTGGTTGCATCTCCAGCACTTCACTGGGAGGTTTCAATCCAGATTAAAATGGGTTATGTTGAAGGAGTGAAAGCAATGCTGTATGTTGTTCTACACACGTTGGAGCTTTGGTCTTTTACACGCCCCGTGTATGTTCCCTAAACCTACATTTTGGTTGGGTATTTTCCACATGCAGGGATAAGGAACCGAACCAAACCCCAAAGCTGAGTCTTTCATTATTGGTTGGTTGATAAACCGTCTTAACGAGCTGTCGGATGCCACTCATCCAGATTTCTCATAGTGGTTGTATCTGCAGCTGTAGTGCCACAAACTGATCTCATCAGATCACAGGCTGAGCAGGGTTGGGTCAGTTTCACAATAATGTAAAACCTACAAGACAAACCCAGGGGGTTCCTTGCAATGTTGCACCTACACTCTGGGGAAAAGTTCCGGGGCCCATGTGCTTTTCTACTGCCGGTGTCGATTTTCAGTTGAGACATAAAATGGAGACCTTGATCATTCCTACAAACGTAAGTGTGTTAGTCTTGATGGCCTGGCCAAAGCCCCGAATCTCAGTCCTCCCTGTACTTACAGCTGGTTGCCGGATTTTTCTTTACTTCCTGGCCTAATCTGTGGTGTTGCACACACCAAGGTGGGGGCAATTCACTGGGGCGTGGAGTGATTCTAGTGCGGAGAGAGTTTCTCAAGCACTTTGAGATCCCTCTGTAAATGTGAATTCTTCTGATGAGTGGCGGCAATGGTCTTGATTTTCTGTTTCAGGTGAGGGCGTGAGCCTCTGTCGAGCCGTGTGTATGGGGCTGGCTGCTTGAGGGGTGAAAGAGACCGGGGGCCCTTCTCCATCTTCCCTCCTCCTCATGTTTGCTGCCTTCTGCAAGAACCCACTATGTCGGATTTGATCATCAACCTGGACTTGGGCCTCCAGCAGGCTCCCAAGAGGGGAACGGACAGCAACCAGAAACACCAGCGCTTTGTGAAACGGCGCCGTTTCCTGGAGAGGAGGGGTTTTCTGAAGCAGAAGCAGCTGCCGCCGCCCCAGCATCATCCCCCCAAAGGCCAGGTCTCCCATCAGGACTCCCGCTCCTGGGAGAGGACCAAGAAGAAGTGGCTCGCCGAGGATCAGAACTCTTTCCAGACAGATGGGCTTTCCCATCAGCCAAAAACCTTCCCCAAGGCAAATAACCATTGTTGCTTTGACCAGCCCAGCGCCACCACGGACTCTGGCTCCCCTCTGCCTTGTTTTCCATCAGGAGCGAGGAAGGTGACGTGCAGATCAGCAAAGGCCAGTGGGACCCCTGGGAACCACAGCGCCCAGCCCCTCGCTGGCGTGCAGAAAGCCAGCCTGCTGAGCGAGTATGCCAGCGGCCTGCCCCCAGTGCCCCGGCCGGGCAAGCCCAGCAAAGTGGTGGCCATTGACTGCGAGATGGTGGGCACGGGCCCTGGCGGCCGGATCAGCGACCTGGCCAGGTGCAGCATCGTGAGTTACCATGGCGACGTGGTGTATGACAAGTACATCCGGCCTGTCGACCCCATCACCGATTACCGCACCCGGTGGAGCGGCATCAAAAAACATCACATGAAGAACGCCACTCCGTTCAAAACGGCCCAGAAAGAGGTAAGCGCCCAGGGCATCGGCTGGGCTTGTGGGGATTCAGTAGGGGGCGCTCTCCTCTCTCAGCCGAGTGCCGTGGCCAGGAGCACCGCGATGTGCTTGACTCAGGAGGGGGCGCTCTCTCTTTGGAGTCAGTTTGGGGTAAAGGTTTCCGGTGCCTCTGGGAGCTCCCCTTCAGAGGCCTTAAGTCCCTGCCCTGCTGGTCCTTGGCGGCCCTTGGCTTCTCCGTGGCTGGCATGAGGCCTACCCCATCCTTTCCTCAGGTCCGTCAGCCCAGATCTCTGCTGGGGCCTCTAGGCATTACCGTAATAAGAGAGCGAAAGGGCCGGGGCGGTCGGGGTGCTCAGCGTCTCTGAGGAACAGGCCCTTTGCGGCTACACATGAGGTTCGAACCCATGCTGAGCTCGCACTGGCTATCCCCAGGCAGTCAGCACCTCCAAACGAGCCCTGCCCGAGGGGGCCAGCGTCCTCTGCTTCAACACCCTCCCGGACCACTGAGCAGCATTGACTCTGCCTAGAACCTGTTTTGTCAAAAGCTCACTAGGGGGCGCTCCAACCCTCTCTTTAATCCAATATGCTGATGCCTTTTTGTTGTTGTTGCCTCTGATACATGTCTAATTTGGTGATGGGTTTTCCCAGCGTCAGCTCGGTGCAGCTGGCTCTCGGTGGTTTTTCGGCACCTTGTGTAACTGTCCAGGGAGCAGCCACTTAGAAGGCCTAAAACGAAGGAGACAGGATTCTGGCCACGCGGGGGTGAAATAAGCAGCCAGGCAGAGCTTCCAGACAAAGGTGGTTCAGGCTGGGTCACTGCTGGAACCAGAGACCAGAGGAGATCGTGGGGTGGTTCGGGAGCAATGTGGGTGACTCAGCAGGGGGCGCTCTCCCCTCTGAGCCAGTGCTCGGGAGTGGTGTGGGTTTCTCAGTAGGAGGCACTGTCCCCTGGCAGACAGTGCTGATCCCAGAGCACCAGCGTTGACCCCGATCAGACGGCTGCGGCACGTGCCTTGTTGCCTGAGCGCTGGTCCCCGGCGTCCCCAGCCCCTGAGCTGCCCTGGTTCTCTCTCAGATCCTGAAGCTCCTAGCGGGGAAGATCGTGGTCGGCCACGCCATCCACAACGACTTCAAGGCGCTGAAGTATTTCCACCCGAAATCGGTGACCAGGGACACGTCAAAAATCCCCCTGCTGAACCGCAAGGCCGGCTTCCCGGAGCACGAGTCGGCCTCGCTGAAACGCCTCACCAAGCAGCTACTGCACAAAGACATCCAGGTACCCTCTGCCTCTGGGACAGGCCCCCAGGCACCAGCCACGCCCGTGCTTAGCAATGCCCCAGGCCATGCAGGCAGCCCTAGAAATCTGGGCCCCGGCCCACGTCTTCTCACTTCCTGGCTGCCTGTGCTGTGTCTGGCTACTTCCCCATCCTGAAAGTCCCCCCTGGTTCTCAGCATCAGCCACAGGGGGGGCGCTCTAGAGCTGAGCTGTTGCTTCAAGAGCAGCTCCCTCCAGAAGCCAAGGGAGACGCGGTCCCTGAATGGAAAAATAAAGTGCTGTCCCCTGGCTGGCCAGGTGGTGTCACTAGAGAGTGAGGTGAGGCATTTCCTCTCCCAGGAGTTGCTTGCCGTGTGGCCTAGTGTTTAGAGCACAGGACTGGGGCCCAGGAGTTCTAGCCCCAGCTCTGTCACTGGGTGACCTTGGGCAAGTCACGTCCCCTGTCTGGGACTCAGTTTCCCCATCTGTGCAATTGGGCGAATGAGGTCGGCATTAATAATGCCCAGCGCCACAAGCCGCCTGCTGTTCCGAGCGTGCTGATCACCTGGGGAAGCAGCGAGTGAGGATCAGAGCTGTCGGCCGGTCACACTGGCTAACGTCCCTGATGGATCGTCTCTCTCTTCCCTTGTTCCCCGCAGGTCGGCAAAAACGGCCACTCTTCGGTGGAAGACGCCAAAGCCACCATGGAGCTGTACCGGGTGATCGAAGCCGAGTGGGAGAGGCAGCTGGCGCTGAACCCTGAGCAGGAGTGAGTGGCCTTGGGGCCCGCCCCCGTGCTGCCGAAGAAGGAGCAGGCCCCGAACCCCAGAGCAAACGAAAAGAGGGGATCAGCAAAACGCAGGGTGGGAGGATCCTAGGCCAGGCCGGGGAGTAGGAATACGGACCAGCTGCCTGGGGCCAGTGAAAGCAGGCGAGGGGGAGGCGGGCGGGCAGCTGGGAGCCTCGTGCAGCGTTTCTGACGCAGGCGCCAGTCAGAGGCGCGAGGAAGTAGCAGCCATCACGCGTCGCCTCCAGGTCTCTGTTAGCGCACGTGCCTCACCAAGTGCTGTCTCTTCCGTCTTGTCTTAACCCCGCAGGGGAACCGTGCTACCTCCCAGCTGGGGGGCCCACACTTTGCCCACCCCCTCCCCGGCGTTCCCTGCCCGGATCACGCCGTGGGTTCTGCTAGCCGCCCCTCGTGTCCTAGAACCCGCTTGGTCCAGACTTCCAGGCGGGATTCGTGCCCTCTTCCCATGCGGACAGGCCCTGTGTCACGTTCTCGTTCTGATCTGATTTCCGTAGGGGGCATGGGCCAGTCGGTGAGTTCGAATCAGACCTTTAGGGGAGAAGATCTCGGGGGCTGAAAGCGACGCTGGTAAATAAACGTCTCCAAAGGGCCTTTCCCTGGGAAGGTTTCTGTGGCACCCCAGTGGTGTTTGGTGGCTTCTCCACCCCCTCAGCTTTGTTTTGGATCAGAAGTAAGGGACTCTCAGAGTTCCCCCACCCTGGGGTGCAGGGGAGATGGGTTGGCACAGCTGTTTGCAAGCCTCAGTGCCTCTAAGGGGCCTGATGAACGGCCCTGCAGAGCCCCAGCTGGTCGGTCAGTGGCGCGCCACTGGCACTGCACTGATTTATCCCAGAGAATCAGGTCCCAAATTCCTAGACCCTGGGCATCAGGGCCCGTGCCACCTGCCATTGCCGGGGATTATGAGATTCAATCCTCCCCGGCCCGTTCCCTCCTTGGCCCCCCTGCTGAGGCTGGCAGTTACGCTGGAGACGGCGGTGGCTTGTTAATGCGGGCAGCGGGCCGAGACCCACCAAACTCATCTCACGCAGGGAGAAGGACTCTGCCGAGACGCCCAGCCTGGGCTAGAGTCAGGGCAGCATCCAGCAGTGAGGCTCTGTACCCCGCCTTCGGTCCCCTGAGCCAGCTGGCACCATCCCACAATGGTGGCCTCTCTAGGGCAGCATGGGGTTGCTTGGGCCACTGAAAATCTCCATTAGAGGTCACGGCCGCAGCTGACTCATCTCTGCCCCCCCGCCCCCCCTGCTTCTGCGAGAGCTGTGCCTCAGCCTGGGGGAGCCCCTCTGGGTTGACGATTCATCTCCCAGCACCAGGTGTGTGGGTGGCAACCCGGAGCCGCTGCCCTCCCTGCCTTGAGTCCAGCAAAGGCCCTGATCTTCTGACTCTAGCCAGGAGGCGCTCTACTACGATTCCCATCAGCCTCTGGGGCAGGGCTTGGCTGAGCATGGAACATGGGCAGGAATGTCACTGTGGTGCTGTGGTTTTGGAACAAGACCCAGGGGGTGGCCCCGAGTTCGAGACAGCAACGGGTGGGATCTTTGAGGTGGAGCAGCGTCCAATCCGCAGTGCCCAGGGGCAGGCCACCAGACAGAGACGGACTTCTGGGTCTGTTCCAGCAGGCAGGACGTGGGTAGCAGATGCACAGTCTGGATGAGCTTAAGGAAATCAACGGAGGTACCCGCTCCCCCAAACAACCCCCCAGTCTCCATTGGCGGGCTGTGCCAAACAGGGAACTTTCGCTATAAGGGACGAAGGGAGGAACTTCTTCAGAGACAAGTCTGCAGGAGAGGAAGCATGGTCTAGCGGTTACAGCAGCTGCCCAGGGGGTTGGGAGGGTGGGGTTCTAATCGCTGGGGTCATTCTGGGTCCGATTCGGCTCTCCTTTACATGGGCGTAAGTCCCTTTGACTTCAGTGGAGCTACTCCTGATTTACATTGACGTGACTGACAAGCAACTCGGGCCCAACGGGTGACCTCGTGCAAGTCGCGCTGCTGCTCTGTGCCTCAGTTTCCCCACCTGTGAAATGGGGAGGACGATCCTGACCTCAGTGCGGTGCTGTGAGTAGAGCTGGCAAACGATTTCCAAACCCACCGCTCTTCATGAATTTGACACACAATTTCGGCCAGTCACCAGATGGCGCAAGGTGGCAGTGGGAGTGGTGTTGCCCCGTACGAAGGGCACTCACCCGAGAGGTGGGGGAGACAGGCTCAGATTCCCACTTCTGAAACAGACCTGAAATGGCCTTTTTGCCACCGAACCCCAAAAGTGAATTATTCGCCCCGCTGGAGTTGTGAAGGAAAGTCCTTGGCGATCCTTCACTGGGACGACTCTCATTTGGCAGCTTGCATTGCAATTTCAGATCTCTTTCAAGTAGATTGGCACTGACTTCTTTAAAGGGCCGGATCCTCTGGCATGGTCATTTCCACCAATGCAAAGTGGGGGTGAAATGCTGCCTGTTCTGTTCCGGTTCCCCCTTGCTTTGTACTGGTGTTAGTGAAGACAAGAGCAGCAGAGCGCTGGAGAACTGGATCCCAGCTCTAGCAGTGGGGCAGCTCTGGGGCTCCGTGGTTGAGCCGTTCGGTGAGAGGGCTTGCCCAAGTAATGGTTACTTGAATTCGTCTTTGCCGTAGTGCTCGGACCAAACTGTTTGTCCGGGGAGCGGAGCACGGTGCTTTTCACATACGTGTACAGCTCCGTGCGCGAGCATCTTTCAAAATTGGAATGTTTCCGGGTCCTTTAATCCCTGCAGCAATGAACTGTTCGGTCCTTTGTGGGAGTGAATTGGATTGTTTGAAAATGAAATGTGTCACTTTTGAAATCACTCGTAAAAAAATAAAACCTAAAAGATCAATTCATTTCTGCTTCTGCAATGGGGGTGTGCTCGCGGGGGGCTCAGAATATCCGCTGGGGAGCTGTAGGTCTGGTTCTCGCCAGGGGCACACTACTACAATTCCCATCAGACACCGGGGCAGGGCTTGACAGTGCTGGGTTTTCAGGACAAGATCCGGGGGCAGCGTGTAGGTGGCACCGATTTCTAGGCACCCAAAGACAGCAACGCTCTCTGCCTGAGTGGAGACTTGTAGGCGGCTCGGTAGAGCTGTAGTGCAGGAGTGCTGGCTATCGGGGTGTTCATGCTGGCCTGAGATTTTCAAAAGCAGCCTGTGATTTTAGGGGGCCGCTGTTTTGTGGGATGTAACTTGAGACACCTTAGAAAGGGGCTGGTTTTCACGCAGGCCCCTTGCGGAGGATCTCCACTTGGGCCCCACAAGTGGGGGGATGGACGGGAGATCAGTGGGAGAGGGCCCCACGATTCAGTGGTCAGTTTTAAAAACATCTTCGCTTCCTCCCCAGCATCACCTGACTCATCCAAAATAGCCAGACCAGGCCCGGCGTCCCCGAGCGCTGTTATGGGCGGTAATTCTCCCTGCCGCCTGAGGTCACTAACCCAAGGAGCTGGGAAGAGCTGTGCCGCAGTGGCAAACCCTGGATCCCAATGGATCCTTCAGGGGGGCACCGTTCCCTGCTCTGGGGGTTCCCTGTGCCCCCAGCCACGCCTCACTCCCGCTTTGTGGGGGGAGAACCAGGGGACCGGGGCCCAGCGGTGAGCTCTGGAAGAGGCAAACAGTCCGAAGACATGGGGACGCAGGCTGCATCTTATCCCAGGATGCCTTTGCCAGCTCTGGAGGGATCCACCGATTGATTTCAAAGGGTCCCCGGAAGAGAACCATCAACCCAACAGTGATTGTAGTCCACTCCATGGACAGAACCTACCCCGGGGGGCAGTGAAAGCCACAGCACAGCAGGGGCAGAGGAAGCGTAGGCTTCTGGTTAAAGCGCCAGTCTGGGACTCCAGAGAGCTGGGTTCAGTTGACCTGGAGTTGAGTCACAGGTTCATGTTCCTGATGCCCAGCTACCATGGTGATGGGCACCCTTATGAAACTACTTTTGATAGAGTTGCCTGTTCTGGGGTCTGGGCAGCGCCCGGCACAACAGGGCCCTGATCTCGGTCGGGGTCTGGGCAGCGCCTGGGTTTGGTTGGGATCTGTACAGCCTCCAGGGGGTGGGATCTTGGTCAGGCCTCTGGGTGCTACTGTCACTCTCCCCAGCCCCTTTGCTAAGCCAAACTGAACTGTATGACGGGCTCCCCAGTCAAACCTGGGGAACAGAGAGGAAATTGGTGCCTGCACCACTCCCCCCGACCCAGGTTCCCAGAGGAAATGACACGTGGGGTTCTTTAAAAATCTGGGGCTCTTGTTCAGACTCCCAGCGAATTAGCGGCTCTTCTCGGGTCCAGGTGGGGCCAGGCTAATGCAGCTGAGCAGCTGCAACCTAGGGGAGGGTTTTGATTCCAATCAGGCCCACGGTTGCCGGGATTTTGGCTGAATTTCTTCTTGCTACTCTCCAGAGTGCGCGGGGGGTGGGGGTATGATGGGAAAGGGGAGGAAGTTGGGGGGTGTCTGAGAAAGGGGGAGGAGGGTCTGTGGTGCAGGGGAGAGTGTGTGTATTGGGGAGGGGGTATTTGGGCATGGATGGAAGGGGGAGGGGAATGCATGGGGGGAAGGGAGGGGGTGGGATAGAGGAATGCTGGGGGTGTAGGGGGCAGGGTGTAGAAAGAGGGGGACAGGGTGTATGTGTGGGGAGGTGGGTGTATAAGGGGGGGGTATTCACACTAGTAGAAGCCAGATGATGAAACCCAAGGGCCTACCCCTCCCCCCTCCTGCACCATTTCCCCCCCCCCCCGGATCTCTCCCGTCTCTGCCCCCCGGAGCTGGGCTGTGCTCTGACTCCCCCTGACAGCTGAGGCTGAGCAGGCCCTGGAGTTGCTGGGGGGGGGGGGAAGCATTTCCCACATCTTTGTTGCATTGGGGCCGAGCGCCTGGATCCCCTTGATGTTGCTTTTCCAAATCTAAACCAGTCTGGGAGGGGGGTCAGCGAAGGGCCAGCAGGGGCTGGAGGGGGGGAGTGTGGTTGCAACAGCAGCTTTGTACGCCGGGCGGGGCTGCTGGAACAAAGCAACAAAATCCCCCCCACCCCCCATGCACGGTGCGGTGTTTGGCGCCTAGCTCTGCTTCTCCAGTAACCGGGGAAGGCAGGCGTCGGGGCACCTACATTGCGGGTGGGTCCCGATCCAGTAGATGTGCTCGGAGAGGGCCTGCTGGATTGGGCCCCACGGGTGACGTCACACAAACCAGCTGGTGGGGGGGAGTGGGGACGGGACCTCCCTTTAGCCAGGTGGCATGGGGGGACTCCGGTACGAGTCCCCCACTCTGCCCGATGAGACGGGACCTGTCCGGGGCGAGCCCTAACCCCTGGGCGAGGGGCTATCCGTCCACAGTCTCTCCCAATCCGACGGTCCCACTGTAATTAAATAGCGGAAGAATTAACTAGGAAGTAGAGCTAGGACGGCTCCCTAGCCAGTGGTGAGGGCACGCACCGGAGAGGTGGCAGACCCAGGGGCGTCCCAGGTGAGTACCTGCACTACTGGCCTATAGGCTATAAGGGAGGTGGGCGTTCCCCTCCACCCCCAGCTGTGTGCTTGGGTGACTGCTCTGAGGGCCCCGAGCCGGTAGGCGGCTGCTGAGACCGACTAGATCAGGCTCCACGGGTGAGGTGGGCAGCCGCACGCCCGGCCTGGTTGCTGGATCGCTCAGGTGGGAGCTGAGGGTCTGGGTGCCCGGACTCGGAGACACCTGGGGTCCTTTTGCTGCAAAGTCGTAGGCGCGGAGCGGATTTAGGAGCCTGCGGGTTCGGCAGGACCGTGGATCGCAGCGGGATCTCAGAACGGGATGTAGCCACCTGCGTGAAGCCCATCCCGAGTCTCTCTGGACCTCGGCCGGTTCTCCTTTGTCTGCTTTGATTGCAAGCTCTGCCGGGCGGGGACTGTCTGTACAGCATCCGGCACGGTGGGACCCTGATCCTGATGATCAGGTGCCCTTCGCCTGGGGACAGGGCTGTGGGGATAAATACAGAAAAGGTTGGGAGGAGCCCAGATGCTACGGGTGATGGGCGCCCTGGATAGATAGGTAGCCATGGGGAAGGTGCAAGGCTGGGACTCAGAGCCAGCTCCTCAAAGGGATTTGGGTTCCTAGGCGTTAGTAGCCTAGATACTCTCCCGGATCGGGGCCTACATTCTCAGCAGGGGTGGAGGTGAACCCAGATTTCCAGAGTCCCAACCCTGCCCCGGCCGGCCCTGAACCCTAGGACACGGGACAGTACCCCTAGGCGGAAGAGCTGAGCTAATACCCTCCCCTGGATAACTCAGCTACAAGCTCTGGCCTGTCTGAAGTGCTGGGTGGGGGAAGCTGAAGAGAGTGGTGGTGTGATTAATTAGGGAGGTGCTCCCTCCCCGCAGAGAGAGATGGCTCCTGCTGATAGCACCTAACCTCCCTCTGACTTGCCTTTTGATCTCCCTGTTGCCTGTCACATCCCGGAGCCAACTTCACCTTGGAACTTCTTAAAGTTTTGCTGTGAATCAGGGTGATTTGGGAGATTAGTGTGTTTTGCCTCAAGCAGTGGTTGTGGGTGTGGGCTGGGAGTCAGGACCACTGGCTTCCATTCCCAGCTCTGCAGGGGTGAGTGTGATCTAGCGGTTAGAGCATAAGACTGGGAGTCAGGACTCCCGGGTGTCTCTGCAGCTCTGGGAGGGAAGTGGGGTCTAGTGGTTAGAGCAGGGGACTAGCACTCAGGATTCTGGGTTCCACTCCCTCGTTTCCTATTGACTTTCTGTGGCAGCTGATCAAGTTGCCGCTCTGTGCCTCAGTTTCCCTATCTATAAATTAGAGATCATATTTCCCTCCCTTACTGGGGTAAGTTCAGGCTAGTTTAGGAAGGGGAGAGTTGGCTGTGAAGGCCATGTACAGTAGTGGAATACTGGGCCAGGCCTGGGATCTGTCATTCCTTTCACTACAGCTCTGTCCTCCTGTGGTGAGGTGGGACAGCTGTTTATTAGCACTGCTCCCCAGGGTTCAGTCACCCAGCACTAAACTGCAGCCACCTCTGGGGTGGGACACAGTACTGGCGTAACAGCCCTCAGCAACGCTGCGCAGGGTTCACTCATCCAACACTGAAATGCAACTGCCTCTGGGGTGGGGTGTGGCAGTGGTTTAACACTGCACAACAAAGGGAAATTTGGGGAGGCAGGCCATGGAATTAATCTAATTAGAATTTGGCCAGGAAATCAGTGTGCTGAAGGGAACTGCCCGGTGACCCCTGTTTAAAAATGTCTCCCATAAAATACCAGCTGTCTAATGTTTGCGTCCAACTTTTCTTAGCCGATTTGGTGATGATTTCCAGGGCCTAGCGGGGGGCAGGATGGATTCTGTCAGGCAGCTCTGCAGGCATCACCAGTCACCCGCCAGCATCTGCTTCCCCAGGACCTCTTTCCTTCTGTGTTTCGCGCCTGTTACAAATGAACTTCCCCCGCCCGACCCACAAACAGGTTGTGCCAGAGGGGCTGACAGCCTGGCTAAGTGTTGATGAAAGATGGCTTGGCGGGGCACTTGGGGGGGGGAAGGGAAACCCACCGTGCATCTATAACCTTTTCTGCTGTCAGGCCAGGCCATGTGTGAAAATCTACGGAAACTCCAGTGGATGGAGAGGGGATGCTGTGCCGCAGTGAGCTCAGTAGGGGGCGCTCTCCTCTGGATCAGTACTGACCCCTTTCAGAGGAGATGAGAAACCAGCTCTGATCCCTTTTGCTCTGGAAAGACCAACACCCACAGCCGACACGGCTGGGGTAGCTGAATTTCCAGGAGGTTATTTTTATTGATATTTAGGCTCAACCGAATTCTGTTGCTAGAATCCCGACGTTTATTTTTAAGCACGTTTTGAGAT